ACAACGAACACAACTACGAAGATGATGATAATAGTGATGATGACGGCGACGACGAGACAACGCGGCTTCGCGACTTGACGTTTCCACGCGAAATCGCGAGCGAGCCGATCGACGCGACACGCAACGTACGCGAGTATGCGAGAGCGAACGGTTACGCACGGTTACTTACCTATTTACAAATCGTCGACCGCACGCGCTGTCCACGGGTCAGGAGACGATGACAGACACCAGGAGACGGGAATGGGGAGGCACTCGCTCGGTCGAGGCAACGGAGATGCCACAGTTCTACGTGCCGAACATGCTCGAACGCGAATACTCCGGCGACTACCGTTCTCTCGCGTCCTCCGCACCGTCGTTACTGCCGACTTCAGGCGCGTCGCAGGTAACGCGGCGGCTCATTGGTCGACCGCCGAGTGGCCAACATGGCGGCTGGGCACGTCGGAATCGGCGATCTTCGGATACGGCGCTCGTCAGGATCGCGCTTGAATGGCCTCGATGGGGCTACGCGGCCAGATCGTTGCTTACGATTCGTCGCGACAGCAACGAGCTTCTCGTCGTCACTCAGCTCTTACCTCGGGGAAGGGTGAAATGACGCGTCCGGCTGCGAACGCGTTTCCCGGCGACACGTACGTGAAGTTGCCGCGCGTTAAGAGGTCTGTTCCTTCCCTGCCAACTACTGAACTAGTGCACACTAGTGCAGCAAGTTGGAGTGAAAGAAAGTATACGCGTTTCACTCTGACTTAGCGCACCGGTGCAGAAGTTCTTCGGAAGCGAACAGACCTAAGGAGTTCATTCACCAGAGTTGCATTCCAAGAAGTTCTTTTTGAGAAAAATTTTACGGGAAATAGTTCACGTAATATATATTGTGGATTTTCGAGAAAATTTTTCTCGAAAAGAACGTTTTGGAATGTAACTCAGGTGTGTATTTTCAAAACGCCCAAAAAACATATTTTCAGTAACGCGTCAAGGAATGTCTATTCCCAAGTTCCTTTTTTGTTAAGCTAAATTACGTTTTCATATGTTTATTTCGCTATTTTAATAATAGATGTTAATTTAAATATGATTAATAATAGATGTTAATTTAAATATAATTTAAATACACCACATCTCTTGTCACGTTTCACTCAGCACAATGCTACCTAAAGCATAAAACAGTAGTTTTCTGGCTTGCGGTTGGCCATTACACAAAAACGGTGCAATGAATACCTCTTTCTTCTTAACATGTAACACTTGTAACGGTAAATTTTTTACTTGAATGCTATAATTTTTTACGAAGCTACACTGAAATAATGATCATCTACATTGTTTCTATTATAAAGATTATAAAATATGAAACTGCGATATTCAGTATTACTATCTTTCATGAAGGTGATTTCTCATAATGATGCAGACGCACTATCGACGCACGAAACTTTAACTACGAATATTGCAATAAAAGTTATGTTATATTTTTGTATAATTTTAAGCATTTTTTGATTTAAGTGAATAAAACTACTCAAGCGTGGAATAGCGCGTGACGCCGCGACGCATTGTGCGTTGAAAGGAACGCAGATACTCAAATATCTTGAACTAACGAAACTAATATATCTCTGGGATGTATTTTGAATATTTGTGCTGTATAGATGATTATTATAACACGCCTCGAATTTCGCTCGACAATTTTATCTTCACAAGATTGCAGATAACCGATTGATTATTCAATTCTCTCATAATTATTTAGCGCATATTGAATCATTGGTAACGATCTTTCGAGTGGTGTTTGCAAACAACATGCGATAATGAAATAATCTTTTATTATTATTGTTCGTCGAGAAGTTGATGATTAATTTTCGCATCAGTCCGTTCCGCACACGTCCTAACACACGTCGCTGTTCAATGCATACGATAATCGATTAGTTGATAAATAGAGACAACAACTTACCAAACTTGCCGTTCGATTGTACTATTGAAGAATAAGAGATTTGTGTGCTCCATTGAGTTGTATACCTGTAACAAAATCAAAATCCTTATCGCCGCCATTGAGTCGTTTTGTTTATAAACAGGAGTTATTTGTCCTGTCGTTAAACCGTAGTATTTGTAAGTAAAAGGATTATTTACCTTTCATTGAGTGATACTCGATAATAAGGTTTTCTCTGATTCCAGTTGAATCGTACTGCTTGGAAACAGAAAATCCATTCCGCGGTCGTTGAGTCGTATTACGATCTCGATTCTTCGTCGTAATTGAATTGAGGGTGGTGGTGACTCGTAACGGTAAACTTTGGAACTATGTCTTCGAATAAGAGTTAATTTCGCGCCAAGTCTCTGTAACGGCCTGTGTGGCGCCATCTAAAGGTGCCGAGAGGAAATCTATTGTAGTTGGAGCCATTATGGGCTGAGGGTGGGACACGATTGACCACGGTACGATTGGACACAGATTGTAATGATTAATTCGACCTGGTGATTCATTAGATAATCCATCGGTTGGTTGTATCCAATCGTACCGTGATCAATCGGGACGCTCCCGAAGCTGAGCACAATAAAAGGAATAAGGAACAGGGAACAGAGAATAAGGAATAAGGAATACTGAAAACAAGAAATAAATCGGTATTCATAGGTCGGTATTTATAGTCAAATCTTTGGTTTGTTCTTTTCAGCTGCACTGCTTAATTGGTGCAATAAGTTAGAATGAGACAAAACTTATACTTGTCTCACTTTAATTTATTGCATCAGTTCAGCAGTGCAGCTGAAAAAAACAGACCACTTATTTCAAGACCGTCTTAAGTAATGTCTTAAGATGCGAATACGGCTCTGTGATTGGTTCATGACATCTTAAGACAATACTTAAGATGATCTTAAATATAAGACCGGACTATTGCAGAATTCACACTGCGTCCAATGTCCGACTTATGATGTCCGATATCCAATAAGAGAACAGCTTTCCAATGGAGAATTGAATTTTCTATTAGAAAGCTCTTTTCCTATCAGACGTCGTACATCGGACATCGGATGCGGTGTGAATCCTGCATATGAGTACCGGCCATAGTCGTATCTTATATTTAAAACCGTCTTAAGTTTATCTTCAGATGCTTTGTAGCCAATGAAATCACCCGTAGACTATCTAAAGATGAATTTAAGATGATTTTAAATATAAGATCCGACTATGGCCGGTATTCTCCTTTATCCACAATCTTGCTTTAATCTTTAAGCCGTAATAAATTGACCAACAGTATATTATTTTAAAAATAATTAACTATAATTGGTCAATTTCTTACTGCTTAAGAATTAAAGCAAGGTTGTGGACAAAGGGTTCATAGTCCGATCTTATATTTAATAGCGTGTTCGACTGGTTCTGAATTAATCGCTCCGAAAGCGATTAATGACGTCATAAGTCTCTACTAGCCAATCATAAAGCTTATAAGTACTTGTTCGACCAATACACGTAGGCTGAATAACCTAGAGTGAGTTAACCCAGAGCCAGTCGAATGCTATTATAGCTCCTGCACACAGGACTCGGTAATGCTTACCGCGCGGCGGAAGTTCGCGCGACAGCCAATCAATATGCTGCTTTCCGTAATAACCTTCTAGCTCTTATGGAAAAACAACATATTGATTGGCTGTCGCGCGGACTTCCGCCACGCAGCAAGCATTATCGCGTCCTGTGTACAGGAGCTATTATATTTAATGCAGGATTTACACCGCGTCCAATGTCCGACGTACGACGTCCGATATCTAATACAATAGAACAGCTTTCTAATATAGAATTCAATTCTGCTTTGGAAAGCTATTCTTTTATTGGATATCGGACGTCGGACATCGAAAGCGGTGTGAATCCTGCATAAGAATGTCTTAAATTCACATTTAGAGATACTCGGTAGCCAATAAAATGATCTGTACAGTATTTAAAGATGAACTTGAGACGGCTTAACCAATGGAAGTAAAGTATGGTTGTAAGAGTAAAAAATTGACCAATTACAGTCGATTATTCTTCTCATATTCAATTGTGATTAGTCAATTTTTTACTTTGTATAGCCATATTTTACTTCCATTGCAGACGGTCCTTTGAATAAAAGACTTGTGGTGCGATTTTGTAATTCTTAACGACAGATCTTGGCAGGAATAATGTATGGTAGAAAAACTGCGCAACATATGATAACGACGACTGTCGTTAAGAGTTACAGAATCACACTACCGACCATGAATATCGGCTTTTGTTTTCACAAATCGCGTCTGAAAAACAAGTCGAATTTTTTACCTTTAAATAGCATGGTAACTTATAGCGAATTCGGTTGCTTGCACTAGTGTGCACTGAGTGCGCACTAAGGCTTGTTCATAGTATGTTATTATATTTAAAGATTATCTTAAATAATTCTCAAATAAATTCTCAAATATTTTTAACCATAATATGATATGTATAACATCCGTACGAATCATTTTATTAGTTAAAATGTTTTTAAATATGTATTTAAGACACGATCTTAAATATAAGAATGTACTGTAAACAAGCCTTAATGCGCACTCAGTGCGCACTAGTGCAAGCTACCGAATTCGCTATTAGAGAGATTCGTAATATTATGATATAACGCGATGGGTTACGCGAACTTCTTATTCTTTAATAACATGATCAGTGAGTCGAATACATTTAATCTGTTCTTTGTAGAACCAGCTATACTAGCATTCATTTCTCTTTGCGCCAGTTCCAACTTCTTGGTGATTAACTGATAGTTAAATCAAATGTCTATTCTTATCTAAATTGAGATATGATTTAACTTTATCTACATTGACATATGATTTAACTATCAGTTAACTTATCAAGAAGTTGGAACAACCAGCCCACAACTATATATCTGTTTCTTTATAAATTCTGAAATTGTGCACTGGTTCAGCTACAAAGAATAGACCTATTACTTATACTTACCACAGAGTAATAAGAGCCCTTCTAACCTAATAATGAATCACATTATTAAAAATAAAGATATGAGTAGAACAGGTTTCACAGCAATACAAATAAAGCACACATGCAATTACTCCTTAATATTATTTTTGATATTTTATTTATTCTCAGGAGGGAAAGAACATGAATTATTAATTTATAAGATGCTAAACATTATTGGCTAGAGAAGTTTGTTCATGAGCTACGTTTTACGTGTCATTCTCAAAATCCTTTGGGTTTTTACGGCTTATAGCCTTGTTTGTTTCGGTGGCCCAGCTCATAATCAAATAGGTACCCATGAAGACTATAATATAGTAAATAGGTTACTTATTAAGCACTGAAGAATATCAATATTCAACTTAGAACTTAAAATGCAATAACAAGAAGTACTTACAAGGTGCTATACGGAATACACTGCCTTGAAACCGACGTACCATATTCGGCACACCTTCAGAAATCATTCCCTTAAAGGCTTTCTGTTCATATGGACTAAGTCGAAAGTAGACGATGCCACTGATTTTGGCGAGATTACCCCAATGCTTCCCCATGTTTGACCGAAGTCTGAAAGATTGATCGAAACGTTGTAGTTGACGGACATTTAACAGAACATAACCACTCTCGAGCGTATTGACATAATTGCGAAAACAGCACGAATGTCATTCAGAACGTTCTCTAGTTCAAGATTTTGAGCTTGAAACAGATCTAAGTGAGGTCGTGCGAAATATGCGATCAATCTCGAGCAATGAATAATTACATAATCTCGTCGTACTCACTCAAAGCAATGCCTACGAAGAGTATCGTGTTATTTTCGTGATCAACTCTCCATTAGCTATTCTCTGCTATCTGACATAGCAGATGGCGCACTCGAGCAAAACGTATGAAGCATAGGAGGTTCGTCTTTTCCATTTTCTCGTTATTTTTTGCCTCTTTCTTTTTGCTACGATGTATATTTCATAAAAAGTGTAATTTATGTTATCATTCGACAAAACTATCGTTCTTTCCAAATATATCGCTGTCTTCTAATTAATAATTTCGTATCTCATTTACTCGGGACACGTAATATTTCAATATTGAACAGAACAACAGTCAAGCAACATTCTATTGTCGTTCCAAAAAAAATTTATACAATCCAAGCTCTTTTCCTTTTTCTAAGCTCTTGGTAAACTAACAATTAAATCATAACTCAGATAGCACAGAGAATTCAAAAAGAATTCAATCGTATGTCACCAATTCTGAATTCATTTTTAAATGCAAAAAGAATTCTTTTTCCCTTATAGAAATATCATACTAAGAATCATTGATAATTACTTATTTTCAGTATTAAAAATACTGAATAATAAGTAATGATCAATGATTCTTAGTATGATATTTCTATAAGGGTTACTGAACTGAATTCTGAAGAATTCTTTTTGCATCTAAAAATAAACTCAGAATTGGCGACATACTGAATTCTTTTTCATTTTTTTTTAATTCTCTGTACTATCTGAGAAATCTATCTTTTGTTTTTCTTAAAATTAACTCATCGAGAAAAGACGAGAATGTCGCGACCTTCAATCAGCCGACTTTGCTATGCGGATACCTTTCGTAGCAGTGGCGAGGAAATAAGGCATATCTTGTTCTATTGTCTCTCATTAAGCTTGATCTACAATGTGTTCTTTGCTTCCTGCTTCTTCCTCTTTATCTCTTTCTGACTCAAACCTTAAGCTTTAAGTCAGAAAAAAACAGAACACAAGAAACAGAATGCAAAGAACATATTGCAGATCAGGCTTTAGGGTCTCAAAAAGCCCGCGCCGGGGGTCACGTGAGAGAGCGAGCTGCGCGAGTCACTACAAGATGGCGGCAGCGCCCACGGCGCTGCGTCGCTGCTGTCGTGCGCAGTCAGGCAAGCGTATCGGGGCAGGGGCAGTCGGTGGGTCGGTCGTCACGAGCGAACGAGCGTTCGTGTGTGATCGATGTTGTGATACGGTGTGTTCGCGTCCGCTAGTTGCGCGTCGCGTTCATCATCGAGCGAAGTTGTAACGAGGAGCACACGCAGGGACAGACAGTCCGCCAGCGAGCATGGTTGCCACGAGAATCCGCAGTAACGCGTCTACGCGGTCATCCCGGGACGAACAGTGGTAACGTCGTGTTCCGCTTGTGGTGTTTCGTACTTTACGCGAGGTCCTTGCTCACGTGAAGCGGAGGGTACCCTGTGTGCTAGCTAGCTAGCGGGCGTGCGTGCGTGCGTGCGTGCGTGCGTACGTGCGTGCGTGCGTGCGTGCCTGCCTCTGACCGTGTCATGGTATCGAGGCAGGCCGAGAATCGTGGCGGCGGAAGTTCTCGCACGTCCCAAGACATGGCCTGCGACAATCGCGCCGAGAGCGACTTCGAGTTCTCGGTGCCGCCAGAGGCGCCGGTATTCGAGCCCACCACCGAGGAGTTCCAGGACCCGCTCGCCTACATCGCGAAGATACGGCCGATCGCGGAGAAGTCCGGCATCTGCAAGATCAAACCGCCGCCTGTAAGTAGTCAAAGTCGTTCGTTCGGACGTGTTCGACTCGTGGGACGAACGCTCATCTCGTCCTTATTTCGTCATCGTCGTCGTCGTGTACTGCGGACATTGTCCTCTTTGTCGTTGCTGTGGCAGCGCACCTTACCGTCGTCGTTATCGTCATCGTGACGAAGGACGCCGACCATCGATCCTCTCTTACGTGAGCGTTTTTCTCATCGCGAGGCGCGATTGAAAAGGTTTCGGACCGAGAAAATCCGAGAGGGAGAGAATCACTGGTCTTCGTGTTACGAGTACGCGACCTCGTTTCAACAAACGACAGTCCGTCTCGTGGAACGAGTCAGGATCACGACAGACGACGACGACGACGATGATCAGGAGGATGAGAAAATAACGGGGATCACGCGCAGATCTCCGTCCGTCCGTGCGTTCGTTACACGCCACACGCGAGCGCGTACGAAACGTGCATGGCAGCACGCTGTTTTTGTTCCGCGGTGAGTCTCCATATTTTTCCGTTCCGCGAAATAATGACCCTCCTTACGCTTACGCGTACGCGTGTGTCGCGCGCATTGCGTCGTCCGGGATGCCTGCCAAAACGGCGAAAAGAGAAACTGGCAAAGAAAACGGTAGAAATAAAAAGAAAGAGCACGACGCCAGAGATAAAGCCAAATGAGACTGAGAGAGAAAGAGAAAAACAACCGTCTCCTCCTTTCTCTCTTTCTGTCTTTGTCTCTCTCTTTCTCTTTCTCGCTTCCATTCGACGTTACGCTGCACGGCGATATTAATGGATGCGTCGAGGTGGCTTCTTTCGCGGATGCACCGCTTCGTCGCCGATGACGACGTCGACGGCGAAGTGAACGTGGCGGAGGAGGACGATGACAATGGCAATAACAAGTATCGCGGCACAAGTGCGCCCGTTGATGATGTTTCTCGTCGCGCGAGGAAACGTCGATTCTCGGCGATTAACATAACGCCAACAACTGCGCCAAAGCCAACCAGTTACGAACCGCCATGTAAAATGGCCACGATCGGAACACAATCGGCGATACACGCACTCGAGAGTGCGGGAGACGTTGCACCGCGAGAAAGTATTACGAAACGCTGTTTGGACGCGGCCACGAGGTGAGGCAGAGGCGAGGGAGTAGGGAAACCGGCCGATCTCGAAGAAAACGCGATCCTCTTCGCCGGGATTTTATCGAGCGGCCGCACGGGAAATTTATCGACGCCAGCGCGATCCCGTTATCGCCATTCGGCTTCCCAACCAAAACGTGCGCTTCTGTCTCCTTTCTTTCTCTCTCTTTTTCTCTCTCGGCCATGTGGGGATTTCCTCGTTCACCCTGGGACCAAAGCGGATATCGGAATCGGCTAGATTGACGGCCGGTCGCGAGTGTGCTCGTGACAGGTCGAAAAGTCTCGCGATGCAGTTCGTCGTGTGACATAATTTTTTCCTGCGCTGCGTCACCTTTCACTCTGCGAGCTCTCGTCTCCCTCCCTCTCTTCCTCTCTTTTTCTCTTCCCCGAGTATAACACGGAACCGCAGTTCCTTGGAACAGTTTTTAGGCCGAATTCAGGATACCTACTCCATTGTTCCGTTGACGAGACCTTTGCGCCGATTCTCAATTTGGTTGAAAACTACATTGTCCTTTTCCTTCTTTCCTCCACGACGCGACGGATCTGTCTTTCTGTCCTCGCCGCCTGTGTCTGTCGATTTACGTCCACCATTAGAAATGATTTGTGCCACCATTTTGTTTCCGTGGTATACGAAGCAAAATTCCCGGGCCGCGAGGGAATTCTCATCGCTTCGGCGTACCTACCGAATATCCGCCAGTAAAAAGTGCTTCCGAGTATTTGGCGTCCCGGTGTACGTATCGACGCGCGAGATATCGTGTACTCTTCGCCGCGTATAGGTGTATAGGTGTATAGGTGTCACCCGGCCGGGGAGATACACGACTTTCCCGACGCCAAAAGCCGAAGGAATTTCCCGGCGCTAATTCGGAAAGCTCTTTCCGTGGAAGGGTCGACTCGTCGTCGCTACGATTGCGTAACTTCGCAATTCGACGGCGACATCAGTCGATGGCCGTTCCGGGGGCAATGACGATCGTTATTTCGTCAGCCGATTTAAATGCCCGGGACATGGAAACTCTCCGAATTTTCACGTACAACCGGCTCGTGTGTTTGCGTTTATTAAGTATACTTGGTCTCTCCACGAGAGAGAGAGAGAGAGAGAGAGAGAGAGAGAGAGAGAGAGAGAGAGAG